TTTTAGTCCTTAGAGATGACTTAAGGACATGCTATCAGGCCTATGTCGGTCCTCTTCCTAGAACGTTTGTATTACAGACTTAAACAGAAAGTGACAAGACTAGACAGGAAACAAATTCTTACCACCATGGGTAAGAATTTTCAATGGGCAAGAGCCAATCAGTGATTTTATCTGGAGGACTGCTCAAACCTTCTGATAAATGATCAAATGGTATTTTTTTTATTAATAGAAGGTAGAATGAATGACAGACTAATGGTTTCACCTGATAAAGACCTATGGAATTCATGGTTCCCAGTTTATCCGGGGCTGGGGTTGCTGAAAATTTCTCATTCATAAACTCACATGAAGATGATAATTTTTACTTATTAGTAAATAAACTTTTTACTTAATTAGTCTACTGAATAATTTGAGGTTTGCTTTCACTAAAAGCAAGTTCTGGGGCATGAGAATACCATTTATGGAATACTTAAAAAGTGGGGATAAACTTGTGGTGATATATATATATATATATGTGTGTGTGTGTGTATAATGTATTCACACACACACACACACACACACATATATGAATTGGATTTTATACCAACCTTCAAGGGTTTTTGTTCTAGGCAAAAACATAGTCCTTCAAAATAATAAGAGGGCATCCTTGTATTGTTCCTGTCTTTAGGAAATTTGTGTTCCAATGTTTAAAATTATGTTTACAACTAGTTTATGATAAATGTTTTTAAAAAATCCCATTGTGGAAATGGTTTTCAATTCCCATTTTCTATGACTTTTTTTTCAGGAGTATGGTAGAATTTTATCAAGTGTCTCTGTATCTATTGATATGATCATATGATCTTCTGCTTTAATAAATGTCCTTAATATTGAACTGCTCTTCTCTTACTGATACATAACAGACTTGCTTTTATATTTCTTCATTACCTTCTGGAATAATTTTATATAACACCGTAGGATTTTGGCATCTGTACTTGCAGATGCTATTTCAAGTTTCGCTAGGCTAGTTTAACTACAGCTAGGAATTGGTTATAAAAGCAAATAAGAATTCCCTGGTTCAGAAATGTTTGATGGAGAGGCACCTGGGTGTCTCAGTTGGTTAAGCATCTGACTCTTGGTTTGGGTTTAGGTAATGATCTCAGTGTCGTGGCACCAAGCTCTGTGTTAGGCTCTGTGCTCAGTGTGGAGTCTGCTTGAGATTTTCTCTCTGCCTCTCCCTCTGCCCCTCTCCCTACTCAAGTGCACTCTCTCTCTCTCTAAAAATAAATACATAAACAAAATCTTTTTTAAAAAGAAATGTTTGATGGAAACTTTATCCCAAATCACCTAGTCCTCTTGCTCTATTGGATGAAAATCTTCATTTTTTTCGTACTTGTTTGATTCACTTGACGTCTCCACAAAGTATGTACTGAATGTCTCTATCCAGTAACTCAGTGAGGTGCTCTGAGGAGGGGCAATTACTGTGATGAGCAGTACAGCCACAACTCCTACTTTCTGCCTGTGTGGGTCCAAGGATCTAGTCAGATTTCCTACCTCCTCTTGAATCAGTTTGGTAATTTTTGTTTTTCTATTGTATGATATATTTAATCTGAATTCTCAAATTTATTGTTCTAGAGAATGTGGTCTCTTAAAATTTTTTAATTCTTTATCATTTCTTCTTATATTTCTAACAGTTTATGTTTTTATTTTTTCTCTTTCTTGATCAGGAAGTGGTATATAAAACCAGATCTAAAAAGATGTCTTATTATAATAATCACTAATGCTTACATATTACTTCCAATCTGTTCTGTTTTTCTTATTTTATGTAACCCTCCAAAGCCCTAGGAGCACATCTAAACTGAAAGTGCACGCCCTTATAAAGACCCTATACGTGGGGCACCTGGGTGGCTCAGTTGGTTGGACATCTGCCTTCGGCCCAGGTCATGATCCCGGGGTCCTGGGATCAAGTCCCACATCGGGCTCCCTGCTCAGTGGGGAGCATGTCTTTCCCAACCCTTCTGCCTGCAGCTCCCCATGCTTGTGCTCTCTCTCTGACAAATAAATAAATAAAATCTTTAAAAAAAAAATAGACCTTATACCAATTTTCTATAGGTGACATATTGAAATCTGCCTCTCTGTATCTTGATGTTATTTTTTTTCCTGAAGGAATATTTCTATTTCTTCTTTTTCTTTTTAACTTTTTTAGCTTAGGTATTTCACTATCTCTGTAGGAAATAATTACTAGAGAGAAGAAAAGAGGACACAACACAAAAGAAAAGATATATACTTTTAAAAAAGAAATACCTCTTGCTATCTGTTTTTGTTTAGGAGAAAATGTTTATTTGTTAAATGACTAGAGTGAATATTCTAAAGTTCTTACAAGAAGAAGGCAGAAAAAGTAGATATACTGGAATTGTAAACATTACAGAATCTGCTTGGGTAGGCATGAATCAGAAAGTAATACATTTAAATATTTCTCCCAGTTAAGAGGTCCTAGAATGTAATTTGTGTAGATACAAAAGGCAGAACTTAAACTAAGGAAAATTTACCAGGAACCAGATATTAAACAAGTATGAGGAAGAGCTTTCTAGTAATTGTAGCTTCTACCTATGAGTGGGAAGGCCTGCCTCACGGTGTAATGAATTGCCTACTCAGATTGGATGACCATATAACATTTTGAGAGTAAAATGGGGTACTAATAAATATAGTTGCATAATTCTTGAAATAAGTATTTATTGATTAATAAGTTGGTTTTATTTTATTGGCAAATTTATGTAATAAAACTAATATTAAAATTCTTAATAAATAAATAAGATATGTCTATATATTAAAGCAAATGTAAAAAGATTGCATACTAAAATTATATAAGCTGCATTTTTGTCTGATTTGAATACGTTTTTTAAACTTATTTTTTGGGTACTTATTTGAATACTTTAATCAATAACATATAAATTAGGACATCTTTGCCTTTATTTCCCCTGCATATTTCATGTATATTAGCCCTATAATTCCCCTATTACTTGAAGAGTCCACTGAGTGGCAGACTGACAGCTTCAAGTATCCTGTGGGCTGGGGTGAGGACCGTGAGAATTGCCAAATCAGTTGTACCCCACTGTCTGGACTGCCACTAAGCCAGCAGGGCAGCAAGGGACAAAATGGTGTGTGCGTTAAAAAAAAAAAGAAGAAGAAGAAGTTGGTGTGTGCGTGCATTTCCTTTCTTTCTTTTTTTATTTTTATGGTTTTATTTATTTATTTGACAGAGACAGTGAGAGAGGGAACACAAGCAGGGGGAGTGGGAGAGGAAGAAGCAGACTCCTAGCTGAGCAGGGAGCCCAATGTGGGTCTCGATCCCAGGACTCCGAAATCATGACCTGAGCCGAAGGCAGATGCTTAATGACTGAGCCACCCAGGCGCCCCATGCATTTCCTTTCATTACCGAGTGTCCTGCATTTTCTCCTTGGGGGATTACTGTTAGTTGCTGTCCTCCTAGAAAGGTTTGGCATCTATCAGATTTAACCATGAGCTAAAGTGGGAACTCTGTTCACTGCATAAAATCTTCAGCTGAGTAGAAGCTGAAGCTGGAAAAGTGAAAGTTCACCAGACCTGTCCTACCATTTTTAATGCAATTATTACTAATGATACTAGGTTAACCTAGGGCAAATGCTAAACTGAACAGGCCAACAATACACCATGATGTATGAGGGGACCATCCTTGTCAAGCCAGCCGTGATGATCTGAGACTGGCAAAGTTGTTTTCTCTTTTATTTAGGCCTAAATTCTACACAGGCCAAAGGAATTCAAAATCACAGTTCATGGGGGGGTGTTTGAAATAGGTCTAAAATGTGGTGACTCTAGAGTGCTGTTTGTTTGGTGCATTGCTCCTCACAAGTTTCCCTCCAGCCCCGTTGGAGGCTGGGAGATGCTGGAGACTTCCTCCAAGAAAGGAATAGCTGGCTGCTACTAGGGGTGGAGCTGAGTTAACCTGCATTTGAATCAGGGCTCACTACCTGCTGCCCTTGAGCAAGTCCCTGTGTCCCACTCTGGGTCTCATTTTCTCCTCCATAAGTTGGAGATAACAATAGTAACTTTGTCATAAGCTTACCATGAGGATTAAATGACTTAACATTGATAAAATAGTATTTGCTATGGAATTGTTAAATAAAATAAAATGGGCTTCTAGAGCCATGTGGGAGAGAAAAGGAAATGTGTTTTGTTCTACTGTGTTCTGTTCTTCAGACTCACGGTTGAGAGTTTCTCTTCTTCCCTCTCTACAAGGAAAGAATTGTCCTTGGTCCTAAAATAAGAATCCTATTGGATATGATGGCAAAGGCACAATGACATGGTTGCTGCTACTTTCAAAGGGCTCTTAATGCAAGACTATCTTGCTTGTGATTAGAAACTTAATTAAGGGCTTTTAGGTCCTTGCACTCTGGTTAGGAGATATCCTTAAGATTCTGAAATCTGGAGCTATCCAAAATAACTTTCTGCAAAGAACATCAGCAGTAGACAGTAAATAGCAGCTCCAGGGAAGAAAATTAGAATGAGCTGAAAATGTCTTCGGACTCCCATCATAGTTATAGGGGAGAACAAAATGTAAGCGCCATAAACAGGACCATGACTCATCATATGGCCCCTGAAATCATGGTCATGAAAACCAAAATACTGTACATAAGAAATCATACAGCAGCTTTAATATGCTGTAAGATTATATTATTTTTCTGGTTTTAAATTTAACTGCCTGTCATTCCATGTTTATGCTAACCCCACACCACTGTGGGGCATTCAGGGTTTTTTTCTTCATTCTAGAATAAAATGTTCTTCAACTGAAAAACTGTTCAGATGAATCACAGCCTAAGAAGTGCATGTGGGCAGTTTATAATAAAATAAAAGCATTACCTTTGCTAAAGCATCAGAATATTTTTTTAAAGCAGGATGCACTTTGTATTCAACAATAATTACTATGTTTTTTTAAAAAAAACAGTGGTTGAAAAAAAGCTGTACTACTTATTACTGACCCGCTGACTCACCTGAATTTTAGTGACTCTCGATGATGCCAGAATGACTTCTTTCAAAAGTAACATCCCAGATTTAGCCACAAATGAGGGTAATCTGGCCACGGCATTCACACTTTTCTGACAACAACCCTGTCTGTTGTCACGTAGTTAGGCGGTGTCAGTTCCAATTATTATTCTTCAGATACTGTGATGAAAGAAGTTTGGGATTATGTATAAACAGGTAGGTCTTGTCACTCTCAAATCAAAGGGTCAAGCTCAAAGCATGAACCCATGGAGCGGACTGGGCTCCATTAAGACTTGCTGGAAAGCTCTCTGCAGGGCTCTGCTACACAAGTGTTAGTTGCTAAGGGATGAAGACCTGATCAGCCACACTGGAACACGGAAGCACTTCCACACCCAGGTCACACACATTTCCATCTGTTCAAATCCTAAGATTCTTCAACACAGAAGTCTGAGAGTAAGAGGATGAACATGATCAATGAAACTCTTCCTCTTTAATTTCAGTGCTTCCTAATATTCATGTAAGTTTAGGGGACAAAGAACAATCTGTTAGGCCAGGAACAAAGTTCTTTGGAGTGGGGGTTTTATGTATAAGGAGAAGGCTCGGGGAGCCCGGGTGGCTCAGTCGGTCAAGCATCTGCCTTCGGCTCAGGTCCTGATCTCAGGGTCCTGGGATCGAGCCCTGCATCAGGCTCTCTGCTAAGCAGACATGCTTTCCTTCTCCCTCTGCCTGCCTCTCTGCGTGCTTGTGTGTGCACGCTCTCAATCTCTCTCTGTCAAATAAATACAATCTTAAAAAAAAAATGAGAAGGCTCTTGCATTTCAGGTATCTGCAACAGAACAATTTGAGTCTTTATAACTTTATTGGTAAGAAGTCAGATTTTTCATAGACATTAATCCTTTGTTTTATCAATGAAGGACCAAGTAATTTATATACATATACATAAAATACATAAAATTGTATTGATTTGATTAATGCAGAAGTTGGCAAATATTGCCTTTACCTATTTTTGTAAATATTTGTTGGAACATAGCTACACTCATTTGTTTACATATTGTCTACAGCTGCTTTCACTCAGCGATCATGTGTAGAGTATAAAATAATTGGTATGTAGTCCTTGGGGGGGGTGGAGTTTGCTGACCTCTGGATTAATACAATATTTTCATAAAACTTTCTTAAAGACCTCATGGGTTTTCTTCATGGTTCGCTTGTGTCCTGGCCCCTAGGGAAGAGAGGAGAGTAATGTAGGTACAGCTGGGTTAAGATCCATTTGGTAGTTTTATGCTCTGTGCTGCCTCCATTTACCCAGCCAAAGTCGCTTCTTACTTCCATTGTGTCTCTCTAAACTCTAGCGATAAGTCTAATTTTGCAGTCATGTGTTTAAATGTTTGTCTTTCTATTTGATATTGATTAACTTGAGAGTAAGGCTCCCACTTAATTTTTTTATTCTCAAAATCAAATACAATAGTTGGCATAATACTAAGAATTTTAAGGAATTAAATTAAGTTGGTAGAATTTCCCAGCATCCCAAAGCAGAAGCATTGTATGATGAATGCAGACAAAAGAAGCTGAGAATGCATTCTCCCTCACAGCAGTTTAAATTATTTTAAAGATAATTTAACATGAACTCTAAACCTAGGGTTATATAGAAGAAGAACAGGAATTGAGAGTTTCTGATGTGTCTTGATCATAGAGCTGAAAATCAGTAATCAGGAAGTATATTTAACAAAAATGAAGATTTTGTTTTTACTTTGTAGCTTTTAATTTTTCTTTTACGATATATGCTATGAACTCCTGGTCATTGAAATGATTGAGGGAATGGGATTTTATAGTTAACTTAATAATCTGGCTAATTACTATATAGTAATAGGTTTCCAATTTTGGGGGGATGATTAAATAAACAGTCATAAAACCATCTGGACAAATTTTAAACTTGCTTTAATGATTCAGAAGGCATTTCAGGATCTTGAAGTAACACAGTTATTATAATGAACATAAATAGTAGGTGGTCAAATACTTATTGATTTTCATTCTGCACTTCAAAGAAGGCAGTCTAAGAAATTGGGCTAAAAATATGCTGACCCTGTGGTATATTTTGAAAATTGCTTCAAAAATTCCTGATATCAGCTTGTTTACTTGTCATTTATATTTTTCACATAAAAGTAAATTGCAGGGTGGGGGGATGGGTTAGCCCGGTGATGGGTATTAAGGAGGGCATGTATTGAGTGGAGCACTGGGTGTTATACCCCAACAATGAATCATGGAACACTACATCAAAAACTAATGATGTAATGTATGGTGACTAACATAACATAATAAAATAAAATTTTAAAAAGAGTATACAAAAAAAATAAAGCAGAGCCATCCTTCCTTGGCATTCTGTACTTAATGTTGAAGATATAATTGTCATTAAAGTAGAATTTAGACTTCCAAAAAATAAAAAGTAAATTGCAGTAAAAAAAAAAAAACAAAAAACTTCAGTTATTTGAGTTTCTTAGCTTTTTGCATTGTAGATAAAGGAAAGTTTTCGTTTTACAGTTCCTAAATATCGTAAGAGTTGGTAGGCTTCTAAAATACTTTTCCTTTCAGTTTTGATGCCAGTAATAAATATTAGTTTATACCCATCTTAACCATCAGAAAGAAATATCCTACTATCAGTCTTCTTCCAAAATTGGTTTTCTGTCTCAATGTCCAAAGTGATGATTGTTATGGACCTGGATGGAGAGAGATGAGTTTAAATCCTGACTCAGCCACTTATTTGTGTGATGATGGTCAAGTTATCTCTTTATGTTTCCATGTCCTCATTGGTAGAAAAAGATACTTAAATAACAGGGTTATGTAAAGATTAATAAGTTAATGAATATAAATCCTTTAGCTAGCAAGGTTCTGGCACTTAGAGAGCTGAAAATGGTAACTATTTGTCCTCCTTAGAGTTCAGATTTTTAAAAATTATTTACTTTTTAATTTTTAAAATTGGCATATAATAAAATTGGCATATGGTTTTGGCATATAGTTCCATGAGCACTAACATGTGTATACATTCACATAACCATTGTCACAATTGGGATGCAGAACAATTCCATCCCCAGCCCAAAAAAATCCCTCATGCTGTCCCTTTGAAGTCACACTCTTTCCCTGTCCCCATAACATAGAACAACCACTGATCTATTTCCCATCACTATAGTTTTCTCTTCCTAGAAAGTCATACAAATGGAATCATACACCATAACCTTTCAAGACTGGCTTCTTCATCAGGAATGATACATTTGGGATTCATCCAGGTTTTTGTATGTGGCAATAGTTTGTTCCTTTTACTGTCTAAAGTATTCCATCATATGGATGTATCACAGTATGTTTATGCATTCACTCACTGAAGGACATTTCAATTAGTGCCAGTTTGGACAATTTAAAAAAAAATTTTTTTTTTTTTTAAGATTTTATTTATTTATTTGAGAGAGAGAGAGCACATGTGAGGGGGGAGGGTCAGAGGGAGAAGCAGACTCCCTGCTGAGCAGGGAGCCCGATGCGGGACTTGATGCTGGGACTCCAAGATCATGACCTGAGCTGAAGGCAGTTGCTTAACCAACTGAGCCACCCAGGCGCCCAATTTAAAAAAATTTTTAATTTTTTTTTTTTATTTTTAGAGGAGGGGGAGGAACAGAGAGAGCATCTTAAGTAGGCTCCATACCCAGTGCAGAGCCTTATGCAGGGCTCCATCTGGAAACTCTGAGATCATGACCTTAGTAGAAATCAAGAGTCAGATGCTTGACTGACTGAGCCCCCCAGGAGCCACATTTTTGGGCAATTCTGAAGAGAGCTTCTGGATGAACATACGTTATGTGAACATACGTTTTCATTTCTCTAAGGTAAATGTCTGGGAGTGGGATTTTTAGGTCATACAGAAGGATGTGTTTAGCTTTTTTTTAAAATATTTTATTTATTTATTTGACAGACAGAGACACAGCGAGAGAGGGAACACAAGCAGGGGGAGTGGGAGAGGGAGAAGCAGGCTTCCCGCCGAGCAGGGAGCCCAATACGGGGCTTGATCCC